AGTGTCACATATCACGCTTTCCCTTTGTTAAACATGAGATTGAGCTACTTCCTCAATGATACAGAGCAGGTGAATTATGTTATTTACTATCAGTGGCATTGGGTTTTCTCCATGGGCAGACTTGGCTTCCACCTCATTTGCCTTATTTATTAGAAAATAAGTTGGCAAGTCACTGGCCATGAGAAGTGATCCTCTGAGGTGTAGAGCTAAGCTTACAGGTAACTCGAGTGTGCTGTCTACAGTAGCCACTAGCTCTATATGAATATTTAAATTTCTATATGACTCTTCTATATTTAAATATCTATATGAATATTTAACTAAAGTTAAATGAAACATAAAGTTTACATTGTCACATTTCTACCTGTGGCTGGTTGTTGCCATACCAGACAGCAAAAGAGTGCTGTTCCTGCAGAAGGTCCATTTGGAGAACAGACTGCTCTGCAGGGACTGAGTTATGCCCTTGAAGCCATCGCCTGAGCCACTCTCAGTTGTGTAAGACTGATGTGGCCAAATACGTACACATATATATGAGCAGTAGGCGGGGATTGAAGTCCAGCCAAAAAGAAAGCCCAGTTGCTGTCAAACTTCATTCCTTGCACTTTCAGTAACACCTATTTCCTATTCTACTTGTTTTGCCTCATCACGCCAAGCTTTCCATTCTTACCTAGGAGATCATGTTCTTACCCTGTCCCCAGTCACATAAGGGCTGTGAGCAGGTACAGCAAGGGACGGTGTCTTCCTGGAGCTAGGGCAGGGTTCTCTGGAGCCGGCAGCACTAGCAGGCCAGAGGGGGTCCCTTCCTGATTCCAGCCACTAACAGGTTCTGCATGGAACAGCTGCACTCTTCTAGACACTGATGAGATTCCTCCCTGTGACTTGAAATAAATGATATAAGCTGGGTTCTTGAGCCATAGTGTTCTGTATGTCTGAAGTTGTGTGCTAGCATCTCATGGTTTCTCCCTGGCTTGCAGTCTGAAGCAGGGCCTTTGGAAGCCAACATGTTTGAGTCTCAGTGTTGAAATGGGCTGTGAGGGATCCCTTTTTTCTGGTTCTGGGCTGTCCCACTGTGGAAGTCCCTGATGCTTAAAGGCAGGAAAAGCGAACCCTGGGGAAGCTGGTAGTCCCCTGAGTTCCTCCAAGGCTGTAAGTTGTGGGTGCTCAGGTATTGGCAGTGCCTCCCGCCTGAGTGTACATCTGTCCTGGAGTAGCCCACCTGGCCTGCGTGTGTTTGCAAGTGAAGTCATCTCAGCAGCTCTTGGGCTGGCACATTACCACTCATCTGAGTTCTGAATTTCAAGCCTCAGTGGTTCACCCTTTTCTAGAGAATCATGTGTTCAGCAGCTTGAGCCCTACTTCTGCTTGGGGCTTCTTTGGCTAGCAACTCAACGTCTAAGTTTCTCAGTAGTTAGGATGAAGAAAATGAGAAGGAATATTTAAGAATGAGATTGGAGGCCAGGCATGGTGGTGCACGCCTGTAATCCCAGCACTCAGGAGGCTGAGGCAGGAGTCTCAAAAAAACAAAAAAAGAATGAGATTGGAGATGGAGAGCAGCATTACTGACCATGTGTTGTGAGGATCCATGCACAGTGGTACCGTCATTCATGGTACCTGCATCTGCACTGGTGTTAGGCCTGGCCACTGGGAACTGTTGTAGTTAGGGTTTGCAAGGGAATAGGTTTAATACAGTATATATAATTTATAGGATTATTTTATAATATTCACCCAAAAAATCAAGTGCAGAGGAGTGCAAGAGATCTGTCCACACACTAGAGACCTGAAGAATGCAGGCAAGGGCCTGGATCTCACAGTAATACCCCACACGAGTCTAGCTAAAGGCCTAGAGCTGAAGGCAGTGTCCTCCATGAGCCCAGCCAGAGTTCTAGAGCCCATGGCAGTGTCTCATGCAAGTCTGTATTGAGGATCTGCACTGGGAAGGCCCAAAGACCCGTGGGAAGCCTGCACCGGCTAGATGAAGGATTTGTGCCACCAGGCTGAGGGATCTACACTGAAGCCAGGTCAAAGATCAGAGCTCCCCCATTGTGAACAGCAGCCGTTCCCTGTGACAGCAAGGACCCATCTCCTCTGATGAGAACAGCTAAGTTTGCATCAGGAAAACCAGCCTCAGCAAGCTTCTCCAAAGAAATAACAGCAAACAATCTTCCCCTCCAGCTCTCCTTTTATGCTATTGGCATCAATCCGCAGGTGTCCATAGTAGCATGGCTGATTCTCACTTAGTTGGGAGCCCTTCATCTCTTTATCAACTCCCCCTGTCTGGATGGTCTACCTTAAAACTTTGAGAATCCTTGGTCCAAAACCTCTCAAGATCCCTTCTTTGGTGGTACCAGGGATCAAACTCAGGTCCTTGTGTTTGTGAGGTAGGTGGCAGAACCACTGAGCCAAATCCCTGGCCTCAGGATCCCTTCTAATTGTGTTTATTTAGTAGGGAATTGGGCACCCTAAATCATCCCCATATAAAATTTCTTTTGAAAGACATTTTTAATTATAAAATTAGTATTTACCTACAGAAAATTTCAGGAATGCCAAAATACTAAGAAAAGAAAATCTGGTGTCCACCATTCTAAGTAATCATTATCAACAATGCTTTTGTAAAATTTCTTCTAAGCAGATAATTCTATGTTTTTTCATCTAATTTTACATACTTTAGGACATACTGTACATATGTCACCTTTTTTTGTTTAAGAGAATATGAATATTTTTATAAGTAATTCATTCTTCTACAGTAAACTTTATAATTTCCATCTGTCCAGCAGACATTTGAAGCATAAATTCATTATTTCAAAGCATTAAGAATGTAGAATATTGTAGAATAAATAATAGAAGTAAATGTAAAAGAAAAATATATTTAACCAGGATCACAAAGCTCATCTTAAATTCAGAAATAAAGATTCTAATTTTAATCAGTGCCGAAGATAGGTTCTCCAAGGCCAATGTGGAAAAAAAAAATTCAGAATTTGATTTATTGGTATTGCAGATGGGCAAAGGTATTCATAGGCCCCAGGCTTTTACGTCTCAGCCAGTATCTCCAGTATAATACAGGAGCAAGTGGGATATTTCCCTTGGAGGAAAACCGAAAGTAACTTGTCCCTAGCAAGGACACTATCTGCTGTCCAACTGCTGGTGTCTTAGATGCCTCTCAGGAAGGTTTGCAGGGCTGTGGAGGGGCCTTTTAAAGGGCAAGGAATGTGGAGAGAAATCAGTCCCTTAAGTAGTCACTGGGACTAGGTGTGGCTCTAGTTGGCCTTTCTTATGTGGGCACTGGACCCCAATACCACTCCAGGCACAGAACTAGCACCTGTGTGTGGCCAGTGTTGAGGGTATCAGCATGATCACAGGAGAGGCATCATGATGGTGGCTCCTCCATCAGAATTTTTGCCTTTGATAAAGAAGTGCGGGGACAGAGCTGCTCTGTTGAACCTTGGGATTTGGTCTGACTCCTGGATGACAAACACTTGCTTCCCAAATTGTGACACTGTCAGCTGGTTTTTGTTGTAGCTTCAAAATTGCAAAGGGAAGCAGGAGACTGTGGGGTACCACTTATGCTGTACCCAAAGCCTGGGCATCTGAAGATCACTTAAGGCCATAACTCCACTCAGGGACATGCACATAATGGACCACGATTATCCAAGTATAATTTAACATACTTAGCCATGCATGCATAGCATGGACAAGGTCATACAGCAGGTGTTTAATTTCACCGTGTCTCCATAAACTGATAAGGCACTATAACTGCTGTGAACTAAAGAATACTGGAACCTTTTAGTAGCTGTATTTTCTGTCTTTGCTGTATAGCTGTAGTTGCTGTTTTGCTGAAGGAATAGAGACATGCAGCTCTTAAGCTCTGGAGCTGTAGCTCCAACTCTCAGCTCTGTTGCTGCCCTGATGCTGATGATTGACTCTCTGCACCTTGTTCTTATTGGGGGAATTAACTCACTCATGAAGCACTACATGGGCTAAACAGACCCCTCTCCAGGTGTCTCCTGGGGAGGCTCAGCCTCAGCCTTCACATTTTATACCAGAAAGCAACCATCCTCTGAGTAGATTAAAATTTATCTTAAAAACAAGCATTTAGTCTCTGTCCCTGTGTTTTCCTTATTACCCACCTAAAAGGATTTGGAAATGAAACTTTATATCCATTTTTCAGAGATTTTATCTTATATATCTCTGTCATCTAACTTTGAGCATAAAGTTGATACAACTTTTATTATTTTAATTTCTGTCAGATCAGTACTGATGTTACCTCTTTGATTATTCATATTAATTTACATCTCTTTTTCTTGGTAAGAGATTTATTAAATTATTTGAGCTTTTCATTTCTCTTTCCTTTTTCTGTTTGAAATTTTATTGTTTTCTGCTTCCATATTTCTCCTTTCTGCTTGTTTGGGGATATAACTTGCTTTTATTCTTTCGGGTTTTTTTTTTTTTTTTTTTTTTTTTTTTTTGGGACTGGGGATCGAACTCAGGTCCTTGCACTTGCGAGGTGGGTGGTGGAACCACTGAGCTAAATCCCTGGCCTTGTTTCACTTTTTTAATGTGGAAACTCATATGATTTATTTGACGGTTTTTTCCTTTTCTTGTATATGCACAAAATGCTGTGAATGTCCCCAAGCACTGTCTTAAGTAAATACCAAAAATTTTAATATGTTGTATTTTTATTTAGTTCAAAATGTTTCCTAATTTGCCTTGTGAGTTTTCACTGATGCAAAGGTCATGTAGAAATATGCTCAGATACTTCAGTGTCTTTTTGATCCCAAAGTATGCAGTGGAATGAAGGGAGACTCTTTAGTGAGTAGGTGCTGGGGTTTATACATGGCAATGTGGCAGATTTTGCATAATGAAGTGAAATGTGGAGAGGTGGTTTCTTTGTGTGAGCTTGAGAGGATACCTTCAGCTGTTTTTTAAATGCTTGTACTGTATGTGAATAATATCCGAAGGTGGATTTTGGAATGTTTCATATTAATACATCTTTTTGTTGCTTCTAGTGCATTGACATTGGGCAGAACTGGATCCTGAAAAACTCAGGAAGCTGAGCACATACACTGCTTTAAGGATTTTGGACTGAAACAGGAGAAGACAGAAGTAAGAGTGTAGGAGCCCGAGTAGCCCTGCAGAAGCACCAAAGGACCCTGCATTTTCCATAGCTGTTGTGGTCATATGGGGCAGCAGTCGCTCCAGGATGGGGTGTGTGGTTGGGGCTTCCCTGGCTCCCTCAGGAGACTTTCCTGCTTTGCACCATGTCTTGGCTTGCTTTTGGAGTCAGCCGGCCCAGCATCATCCATCATCATATCCCCTGTGGTGTGCTGTGTGCTCATGATAGCTTCCAACACATTCGCGTGCTGCCCGCGTTCTTCCTACATGGTTCATAGCTAGGGCCAGTGGGAGGCATAAGGAGGGCGGTCTTCAGAAGTCATGTGTCATGTGAGACCTTTCATCTTGTATATTTTCTTTTTTCTAAAAATAAATAATAAAACCCTAAATCTCAAGAAACTACTTTATTGCCAAAAAAATCTCGCTGTGTTTCTGCTGCATGTTGTGTACAAATGCGGGGTGTCCAACTCTGCTCCAGGTATAGTCACACTTCGTTTTGGATAACCTTGTGAGAGGCCTTCATGTGGCCCACAGGCCTTTGATTCCTAGGTGAGAACCTGTGTGTAGCAGTTTATGTTTCCTGACATTTTACTTGGCTATGGGACAACAGAAAAGGAGTGTGCAGCTGGGAATGGCCAGACCATTTCTACTGAGACCAGTGTGGCAGCCACACATGCCATTAGGCTAGAGAAAGGCACCCATGTCGGCTGTGCATGCACCCTTTCTCCTTGCAGCTGCACAGCTGTGCATGTGTCCTGGCCAGCAGGCCTGGAATGTAAAGAACCATGTGCTGCTGAGATTGTTTCTCAGGTTAATGTCACAGCTAGCAGCACATCAATAGTGGGCATTTTTGACATTGTATATTAAAATATCAACAAGAGTTGTCCTCTTGAAATGTTTGCCTACCCAAAGAGGAGACATCTCTGGCATCTCATGCTGTCTACCCATGGCCTTTATAATAATGAGTTCTTCTAGTCTAACCCAGTTGTATACTTCACACAAAAACGTAATAGAAAGTGTGAAAACAGTCTCAAATGACATCCTCAATGTACATTCAGATACTTGAGATAGTTGAGCGCACATCTAATCCTAGACCTTTGGGAGGCTGGGGCAGAGTGATCGCAAGTTGAGCCCAGCCTAGGCAATTTAGCAACTTGGATGCTCTCTTCAAGTGATTAATAAATAAAACAGTGTAAAAGTCTTAAGTTCAACCCCCCAGTACTGCTCCCCTTGCAAAAAACCCAATACTTGGAATATAGAGTTGGAAGAAGATTTTCCAGATTGCTTTGTCCAGAGCCAAAACAGTTGTCCAGTGTAATTGATGGTAGTTGGAAAGCATTGTGTCCTGGTGCAGATCTGGGTCGGCTCCCCCAGCCCCAGGGCACTGGGGCCCAGGAAACTCTCCTGTCTAAGTAACTTAGGTTTCACAGAGTGCATTCAAGCTCACTTTAAAGTTACTTGAACGTGTTCAAGATTGTCAAGCAGATCTGCCCTACATTCTTCTGCCACCCCACATTTATCTCCATCAGCCAGTGCTTACTGAGCATCTGTGACGACCTGTCCCTGTCATGAGGGGTGATGGGGATTGCATAGCAGTGAGTAATGTGCTGGCCATTGCATGGTGGAGTAAGACCCACAGCCCTGTGTCTGGATCCTGTTTTAAAGGGATACAAACCACATGCATTGTGGGTAGCAGCCAGGGCCAAGTGAAGCCCCTTGGAAAGGAGCTGGGAGAGTTGGGGCCCTTTAGCTTGGGGAGAATATTTCTGAATATTTAAAAATGTAGAGGAGACAAAGGATCAGAAACAAAAGTGGGAGCAATGGGTGTGTTTTGCCCTGACACACTGGCTTCTAACAACATTGATGCTGGGAACTCGTGACATTGGAAGAACTTTGGCACCTTCTTTTGTGAAAAGATCTTTTGTTGTAATTAATTGGTTGAAAAACCCTCCCTGCCAGTTTCCAGGGAACATGGTGAGTGTCAGAATGCTCACTATTTTGGTGGCACTGGATGAAGGAAGTGTTTCTATCACCCTGAAAGTCACTTTCAACTTGTAGGGTCGGAAGCAGCAGGGAGAGCCCCAAGCCTGGCTCCAGAGGGTCAGAGGCAACCCCAGAACATCACAGTGGTAGCAAAAACAATGGGAATTTCCACCCTGCTGTAACCTCCTTTTCCAGGTCATTCCCAGTTGTTATTATGGGGCGGTGGCTAAAATTAGAGTCTGGGTGCCTTTGTGTTCGCAGAATATAAAATGTGCTGTCTTCACCACCCCCATGTCTCTGACTCCTTATTCTGCTTATTTATAAAGCTTTCTGTTTATTGTCCATTAAAACATCATTTGAACAAGGGTGGGAGAAGAGAATCCTACCATGTATGGCTTTTCTGAGAAGCCTTGGCCATGTTTAGGCCTAGCACTTAAAACAGAGCACTGTGCCGAGGACTCTGGGAAACAGGCTCCGCTTAATCTTGCCAGTCCTGGTTTACTTTATAGGAGACCAGACTCTGTGGCCACACAGCAAATAGACCAAATAAAGGCATCTACTGGGGCCAGTGCTCCAGAGCCGTCCTCACAGCTGGTGGTCCAGGGAGGGTGTCTTCTCTACTGAGCTGGTCCAGCCATAGATGGGCACCAGCTGGCACATAGAGAAAGTGATGTTTTGCTGATTCAAATGTAAAGAACAAATAGTTCCACCAACACTCTGCTTCCTCTTGTTAATAACTTAAAGCCAGAGAGATAATCTTTTCTATCACTAATTTGTCATTTTCTGTCCTTTTTTCAGCCAGGTACTTTCAGAAACCTTCATATGCAATTCATTGCTGACTTGAGACCTTTAAAAATAGAGTTAAAGAACCTCAGAAATCATAGACCCTCTGCTTGCTTGTATTAGGAAAGGAGAGTGAGGTTCTGTTTTCACCCTCTCCCAGGGTCCGGGCAGCAGGGTGCGCAATTTTTGGAGGTTTGAAAGTCAGTCTTAAGTGGGCACTCTGAAATTATCTATTAGTGATGGTACTTTAGATTTTAAGTCTAAATTAATACATTAATTTGTATAATACAGTTACTATTTGTAGGGCCTTAAAATAACTTGCTTTTGAGTGTCCTCTGAGGGTGTGTGAATTAGAGGCTTGGTCAAACAGCAGGTGATGAGCAGCCTGACAAGGAGTGGCTGCTGACAGCCACCTGCAAAAGGGACACAGGTGGTTCCCCAGGGGACAGAAGGAGGCCGAGGAGGAGGAGGAGGAAGTGACAGGCACAGCTGCCTCAAGGTGAGTGAGAAGCAACATCTGGTTAACTGACGGGGTTGGTAGAGCTGGGTTTGGGGAGGAGAGGAGGCACATGGAGGGGCAGGGACAAGTAGGACCTTGGAGGTGAGGTGGCACTGGACTGGGGAGGTGTGGCCAGTCCTACTAATACTGGCTTTGTCCCACCCCCTTCCATCTGCTCCAGGCTGACTGTCCTTGTCTAGTTTGTCCTGTAAATGTGATGCTCAAGGACCAGATGTAGCTCTGCCAGGGTGGTGTGACCACAGTCCCTTGACATGGACAGTGGTGACATGATCTCAACTGGTCAGCAGGATGTGCAGACTTGGACTGAATCCTGGCCACGTTGTTGAACTGCTGGGTGACCTTGGGACAGTTTGCTTACTCATCCTTCTGAGCTTCTGCTCCTTCACCTGTCCACCTTCTATGTGGGTCCCTTGAGAGCCTGCCAGGCTCAGCCTAGCCCCAGACAGGTGTGTGCAGTGTTCGTGTTACCACTCCCATAGCCTGCAGGCAGTGAACACCCCAAGTTCAGCCCATGTAACCAGCCCTCCGCAGTGAAGACCCAAAGGGGGGACTTGGTGGTCTTCCTGTGGGCTTGGCTCAGTCTGTCCTGTTGGACTGTTTCAGTGTGACATTGCTGTCTCTCTCAGCGTGTCATCCCTGGACAGCTTTTCTCTGTCTTTCAGTCTTAGCTAAACACAGCACGTGGGTGTGTTGGTCCTTCATTAGCTGTCTCTCTTGGATCAGTAGTTGCATTACTTATCTTCTCACTCAGCTCATGTTCCTCCTTCCCACGGTGCCCATTTTTGCTGAAATCAAACTGTACTATTTTCACAGCATTTTGGTGATTAATTCAGTGATCTTGTCAAAAAATATTAGTACAGCATGAAGCGTTATTTGTGAACTCGTGGCTTCCAACGATCACCGTGTTCTTTCTCACAGGATCTCAAGCCATCTGGCCACTCATCTATTCTAGAATGTTCTTGCGGGCCCAAATCTAACTGGGTTGTCTGCAGTATCTGCAGCCCATCTTGTCAAAACTGCGAGTTTTGACATGTTCAGTTTCCTGACCCCCTCCTTCAGAATATTTTTCAAAGTTCTCCGTGGTAATTCTGTTCTGTGACCACATCATGATGAGGGAACCTTGTAAGTCTTGCCACCTACCTTGGACTTCAAGTCCCCTTCTTTGATGTTTATTTTGCCTATTTTACAGGCGTAGGTGCAGTAAGCAGCTTATTTCAGCATGTGACCATGCCCTAGAGCCGGCCTAAGTCCTTTACATTTGTCAGCTCTTGCAACCAGCTCAACCTTTAGAGATAAGAAGTAACAGGAGTTGTGGAGCCTTGGCTTCTACCCTGATGATCATGGAACCAGTTAGCTGGCTGCAGGTGCTGGCCACTGACAGAAAGCAGGAGACCCTGAGGATGGTACTTGCCACAGCAACTGCAGTGCTGGTGCCAGTGCCATATCCCAAGCCAGGTGACACAGAGGACCAGGGTTGTGGAGTCCTGAGCAGCAGCAGGGTCCTCTCAGCTGACTGCTGCCTCTGCCCCTTGCTCTGCCACCTGTTTTCCTCCTGTGTGATCTGTGTGAATTGCTGCTGCATCCAGTTGTGACCCTCTGTGGACAGGGAGGTCCTCGGAGCTGTTGAGTGTCACAAATCTTGCCAGGAGCTGAGCCATTTTGGACGTAACAGTCCGCTTACCATAGCCTCTACCTAAACACCTGACATCCATAACCGAAAGGAGACAGAGTTATATAGTGGCTCTGGGTCTCAGTTTCAGTCCATGGCTGGCTGAGTCCTTGGGAGAAGCATCATGGTTGAAGGGCGTGGTGGATGATGCTGTTCCCTTCTGGGCAACCAGGAAGTGGAGAAGGAAGCTAAGAGCCAGGCGAAGAGCCAGAGGACAGATACACCTTCGAAGTCTCGCCCATCCACACTCCCAGGAGACCCTTCAGCTGGGAATGAATGAATCCACCAGTCTAGTTAGGCCCTCATGACCCGGTCACTTGCTGGAAGCCCCACCCCTGAACACAGAAGCCTTTTGGGGGACATTTTCTATGGAAACTGTAACACCCAGAGGAAGTGGGCTTTGCTCCAGGTGTCTCCCTCTTCCAAGCCAAGCACAGA